GATGCAACAGAGATGAGACTGATCCCTCGGTGATTGGAGCAATCGTGGCGGGGGCCCTTCTTGAAAACAGGTACGACGTCCGCCGAACTTCAATCGGATGGAATGGATTCAGTATTCCAGGTGGTTTGGAACAGGAAAGTTAGTTCGCGAACAAAGCTGGCACCACCGCCTTTGAAGACGACCGAAGGGAGTTCATCTGGGCCCAGTGATTTGTGGCGCTGGAGAAGTCTGAGCTCTTGGAAGACTTCTTGCTCCGTGGTCGATGAAATATCTACAGACCACGGAGCACTAAATCGGGAGATGGTGATGATGTCGATGGCCAACTGAATTGTGCTCCGCCCAGTGCCCCAGCCGACGTTGTAGATTGTAGATACGTTCGACATTAATTTCGCATATGGCTCCACTGACGCATGGCTTCTGTTACCGGTATCTCGGATTAGTCGAAAAAGTTTGTGAGCATTACCGGAAACAGAGGCCGATTCCATCTCGGAAGTGCGTTGTGCCCATCAGCTGTGATATGTGCACCAGATGGACTTGCAGTCCGTTATGCGACCTCTCCATCGATAGCTGACGGCAATATGATCGATTTGAGTCCAGAGCTGATCAGACGTGTTCAATTGTTCCACCCCCTTTTCACTCTGTTCTATACTCCAATCCACCTGTCCCCTTTCATTGTTATTGTTATGATTGTTGCTGCGTTGGCACCATGCTTGTCTACAAGCCGGTGGTAAATATATGTATCGACCATGGAGGTCGCCAGGTAGCACGTTGGCGCCATGCTCGGCGAAAATTGGTACACGAAAGGAAGAGACCATGTTCAGCGCATATTTGCAGAAGACGGTTGCCGTTGTCACTTCTCCTATCACCGAGACTATGCTGGTCACCAAGTGAGGTTTCGTCAGCGTCTAAACTAGCTACTTGTGCGTTCAAGTCGCCGGCTAGTATGACGATGTCAGTGTGTCATCTACTGTGGAGGAGGTTGGTGAGCTGAACTTGTCTGCTTTGTGTGTCGGGACTGCAGTCCGTCGGCGCATAAGCCACGATGACGAACAGACAGCTTTTTTGTCTCATTACGAGATGCACTCACCGATCCTTTTAGGCGCATGGTGCAGAGTCGACTATTGGTTGGAATCCAGTCGAGCAAAACGGCTTCTGCACGTGCACTTAGTGCTATCCCCACACCGGCCTGACCAGCGGCTTTTGTCATCGGATCTCCGGAGAGGCGGAGGG